GTCTTTTCGATCGATTTGTTTCTTGAAGATGAGTCTTTCTAGGTAGGCCTTGTCTCGAGGCTTCCCACTTGTCTTGTCTTTTGAAATGGGGTTTGCAACAGTCCCTGCTAGGAAAGCTGACGCCCAAGTCTGTCTTGCAGAGTTTTCTTTTGACGATGTGGTTCTGGCTCACAGGAGGGTGACAGCCCGTCCTGGTGCCCATCTGTCAAGCTCTGTGATGTTTCAGGCATTGTGAGGTCATCATGACTCTCTTGCCACCAGGGTCTGTCCTGGATTTTCTTTCCACAAAGGGTCTTGTATCATTTGTATTGAGGCTGCAAGGAGAGCAGCCGGAGGAGTCTGGAGGCGTTGGCAGGAGTTCAAAGCGTGCCTCAGTGTATTTTTCATTGAATTGTTCCTCGTTTGGTGGATCGACCATTTGTTCGTCGTCGTCGTTGAAATCGAAGACGGGCTCATCTGGAGCCTGCGTTGTCATTAGCGAGAAATTTCATCATTCTTTGGGAGGCCAATCTGGGTGAGTGTCTGCCAGTTTGTCAAGGTCGGCTTCCTGACCGATTCAGCGAGGCTTTGGAGCGTTCCATCGAACACTTGATCCTCATCGAAAACGACGTCTCGTGTGAGTATCACCTCGCCTGTCAAAGGTATCCAGACCCTGTAGATGTTTGAGGAGGAATACCCGACGAGATGGCCAATCCAAGCCCTTGGGTTGAGCTTTTGAGTCGTTGTTCTTTCTTTTGGGCCACCCTTGTCATGGCGAAAACCTTGCACCCGTAGGCGCGGAGGTGTTCGAGGGGTGGTTTCTTGCCTGTGAGCACTTTGTAAGGTGATCTCCATTTCTTCCCGTATCTTGGGGTGCGGTTGTTGAGATACACCGCGGCCTGTAAATCTCTGTCCACAGCTGAGTTGGAAGCATTCCCCTCATCGCTCGAGCCTTGTCTTTGATCGTCCCGGCTGAGCGTTCGGACAATCCATTTTGACATTGGGTGTTTGGGGCCGATGGCTCGACCTTGAGGAACTTCTCGTGGACGAGGTAGTTGAGAATTTCTGGTTTCCCCGTAGTCAGCTCATTGTCGCACTCGACGATTTTTGTGATAAATTCGTATTGATGTTTCAGGTTGCTCAGAAGGTATTCAATCGAAGCCTTGACAGTCTCTGTTTGCGGTCTTGCAGGTAGAAATCCCAGGCAAACCCGCTTGCTCTGTCTGTCACCAGCATCAGCGAGTTATATCCCTTCTTGTAAGGCTCGAAGTCGTGAAATCGATTCCGAGTCTTTCTCCAGGTTTGCAGTCTTCGCGGGGTTCTCTTCGTATCTGTTTTCTCAACTTGCCCATTACGCAGTTATCACAGTCAACGGAGGATTCTTTGATCTTCACTCCTCGTGAGCAGTTCACGAGGTGCTCCATGGCTCTGGGGCCTGGGTGCCCGAGCCGCAGGTGCCAGAGCTTTGCAGATACCTTCTGAGGGCTTCGTTGTGTTATCGAAGTGTACTTGTTTCGTCTGTTGAAGAATGCCCTTCGAGTGACGTCGCTGGGGATGTGTTCCAGCACAAACTGGTCGTGTTCCTGGCTGACCAGGCCGATGATGCTCAATCTGAAGCTCGAAGGCACGACTGTTGGCCTGGACTTTCGTCCCACCAGATGCCGTGTCTCTTCAGGGTTTTGTAGGAGACTAGGTTGCACGCAAAATTTTCGCAAAACGCGACATCAGTCAGCCGTAGACAGCGTGGGCCTTGAGGGCCTTCGATCCTGATGTCGACATCACCATAGCCTTGAATAGGCACTTGGCTCTCCCTGCCCAGAGGAAGTCGCCTTTTGTCGCTCTCCTGAAGTTGAGAAATCGTGAAATTTGGTTGAAGATGTGGATGGTCGAAGCAGAGTCAAGCAGGGCCGAGTTGCACAGCGGATATGACTCGACAGAGAAAGCTGCTTGGCCAGGTTGATGAGCGATGGCGAATGAAGCGGAGCACTTCCCCATCGCTCTTCCAAGTCAGGCTGGAGTTAGATCTTGAGCAGGAGCTGGGGTTGAAGCTGGCTCCCGCTTCGTGCTTGGCATGAATTCCCTTTCTTGCCTCTTTCCACGGTATCTGTCCATTTGTCTTTTCACTTCTTCAAGCTTCGAGTTTCTCTCGACCGCTTCGTTTGGAGCCCACCACTTTGGGGCTATATCTGGGTTGATTGCGTAGCAATTCGAGAATGTATGGCCTGGTTGTTCGCAAAGGTTGCAGAATCTTCTGCTTGGCTCGTCATCTCGAGGCCTCTTGTATGTATCTCTGTCTCTTGTATCTCTGTTGTCCCGGCCTCGATCTCGGCCTCTTCCTCTTCCTCTTCCTCTATTTCCTCTCGTCTCGTCAAGTGTTGGGCCGAAGGAGCCAGGCTTAATCGTAGAAGGAATCATTTCGGAATCGATATAGTTTGTGAAATGGTTCGTCATGGTGTGTATATCAAAATCATCGTCAGTATCTTTTTCGGAGAGGTAGAATTGGGTTACCCAGCCGGAACATTGAGGTTTCACAGCCTCAAGAAGTCTCTGATCCATATAGCTGGGTGTGTCGCTTCCGCGAGCTTCTCTCTGATGCCCTCGTGCATCACGTTCTTCCATGACTGGATCCAGCTTTCCCAGTCTTGCGGTGGTTTGGTGAGAGGTGTAACCGCCTTTCGATACCTATTTTGCAAGGCCCGAGTCATCTCTTTCTTGTTGCCTTTGGCCTGCTTCTTCAGGCTGGCGTACCAGTCTTTGAGGACTTGGCTGGAAGACAACAGGTCTGAAAATATGGATCATCAACGGTCTTTGCCACCCAGGCTCGCAGATCTTTGATGCTTTCCTCTTGTTTTTCGTGCTTTCAGACCTTGAACTGGAACATACGCCAGTCGTTGGTGGTGTCCCTGAGAGTAGCGTCAGCTGCTCAGTGGTTACTCCCGTTTGATTAGCAGTTGGCTGTGGTTCTTCGAGAAGGCTTGCTCCTTCGACTCCAGAAACCAGTTCCAGAGCTTGTAATCGATGGCAAGTGCCTGGAATTTGGTGTCCCATAGAGACCAGTCCTTGGGCTGCCGGAGGAAGGCTTCAGAAGTCGGAGTCTTTGCGAATGAAGTCATCGCCAAAATTAATAAAAAAATTGAATTGCTTAGTTTTCAGATGCGGGTTCTTCCACTCAATTGGTAGAATTGAGACTCTTAATTGTCAGAACCTTGATGAGGTTCTCGTCGGATAGGTCACGGACACAGCAAGAATGGTACGATCGGATGAAGTGAGGTATGATGTGTGTGTCTGTCTGTGTCCCCCATTTGGGGGTGCTCTGCCCAAGCCCTATATCAAAGGGCGATGGCCTCAATCCCTATGACATGCCATCACGTCATATCTCTGTAACTGTCTCATAGATGTCCTCGTGGCCTCATCAGCTGCGCTACCTGGTGCGCTATCGTCTGCGCTACCGTTGGCGCTGCCACTAGTAGCCTGACGCTATCGTAGCTGCATCTACCCGGATTCTACCGGATCTAACACGGACCCGGTACAACCGGGTCCACCAGCCGGGCACAGCCCGTGACATTACCCCCCTTGTCCCCTCCGACCAGGTCGGCGTCTGCGGGGTTCTTGCGTTCCTGCCAGCGTCTCGTACCTCTCCCTAGGGCCATCATTGGTCTTGATTGGCCCGTACTTGTCCTCGAATGCCTTCATCGCAATTGTTCCTTGCAACCACTCAACTGGCTCCCAAGTCGGCTCTGCGTAGCCCGTCCATCGCACTAGTGCTTGCCTGAATTCCCCTCGTCCCCGCTTCTTCCATCTCGCGCAGAGAATCTCGTCGACATCCCACAGATTCGTGCCGGACTCATCTTGTACCGGTGGTGGCTGTGCGTCATCTACCTTTGGCCAGGAGCCGGATCTTGATGCGCCCGCCGCAAAGGTCAACATGAAATCGCGGGTAAATTGAGCCACGAACATCGAGCTCAACAACGTGCGAACTAATTACCTTCGTGACTGTGTACTTGTGATGCAGCCAGTCGAGCTTCTTGCACGGTCGTGGCGATCTGTAGTTTGCCATCGAGAGCCACACCTTGTCACCAACTTCAAATCGCTCCGCAGGCTGTCGCTTTGCGTTGGCAGCCTCTTCTTGTTGTTGCTGTGAGAGGCCATCACTGCTTGCATGTACTCATTGACCTCCTGCAGGCGACTGAGTAGGCTATCAGCTCTGCTTTCCTCTCTATGCCTCGGTGGCTCTTCCGATTCCTCGACGCTGATGGGATCGACGTGGTAACCATGCTCAGCGAAAAGGGGCTGATCTTGGTCGCTGCGGATTCACGATTGTTGAGTGCCAGCTGCGCGGCAGGAGCAGTTCTCCCCAGTCGTCCTGCACGTACGACACGTAGGCTCTCAGGTAGGCCTCGATCTCCTGGTTCATTCTCTCTGGCCCTCCGTCCGTCTGAGGATGATAGGCCGTGCTCAATTTCTGCGTGACACCTGCAAGACGGCAGAACCTCTTCCAGAACCTACTTAGCCAGTTGCTCCGCGGTCGCTGACGATGGACCGTGGCATTCCGTGAAATCGGTAATGACACTGGAGAAAACGGTTTGCACACTGCTCAGCTTGCATGTTGCTTATCACCTCGCAGGCCACAGCCTTTGTCAGTCTGTCCACAATCACCCACAGGTACCTTGCCTTGCTCGGTCCAGTAGGCGGCAGATCTGTGATGAAGTCCATGGACAAATGGCTTCGGGGTCGATCTGGAATCGGCAGAGGCTTGAGAAATCCCCTTTTCGACTGGCGCCAGATGTGTGCTCTGCCGCAGGTGTCGCAATTGGCTACGTACCGGCGAACCAGCTGGGACTGCCCAGGCCAGTAGAATCGCCGAGCCACAATAGCCAGCGTACCTTCCCTGCCGGGATGACCGGTCGCAACAGAGTCATGCGACTGCTGCACAATGCGGGTTCTCAACTGGTCTTTCTCAGCTTCCTCCTGGTTACCCTCCTCTCCGGATCCACCCGGCACCCAAATACGGTCTCTGAATGTCAGCCTTTGCCTGCGTCGATCGCACATTCTGAAATCTGGATCTTCAGGCCCAGCGAGGGCGGGAAGGCACGCTCGCGATCGCGGACTGCCTTATAGGCTGCCCGGAATATCGAGTCCTTCGCCACCGTTTCGTCCCAGAGTTGCTGCAGGTCCGCTACCTCGAAGACCTTCATCTTCGGCAGGGTGGATGCCTCTGAACAGTCAGAACTCATCGCGTTGATACATGCTCTTGTCGATGATGGAATGGCACTATCCGGTATCAACTGTATCATTCTTCCTTGTTCCCGCTCGTCGTCAATGCCCTGTGGCTTGTCTTGTTCACGGCGGGACAACGCATCAGGCACGACAGCCTCGCTTCCCGGTCGATACTCGAGCTTGAAGTCGAACTGGGACAATTCGGCTGCCCAACGGCTCTGCCGTTCCGTGAGCTTCTGGCGTGTCATGAAATACTCCAGGTTGCGGTGATCGGTAAGGATTGTAAATGGGCCGCAGCTCCTAAGTTCGGCGTTCCAGTTGTCGAGACATCTCATGATGGCAAGCATCTCCTTGTCGTGAATGGGATAGTTGTACTCCGCTGGCGAAAGTCGCTTCGAGAAGAAGGCGCATGCGTGTCGACGTCCATCTGGGCCTTCCTGCGACAGGACGCCTCCCAATGCGTAGCCTGAGCAATCCGTCTCCAAAAGGTCAGGAGGCTCGGGTCCCACTGCTTGAGCACCGGTGACTCGCAAAATCGTCGCTTCAGCTCCTGAAACGCCTCGTTCTCCGCTCGTCCCCAATGAAAGGCAGTTCCTTTCTTAAGCAGGGCATCCAGAGACTGCGTGATCTTGGCATAGTCGGGGATGAAGATCCGGTAATAGTTGGCGAAGCCCAGAAAGCTTCTGACACCCTTCACCGTGGTCAGGGCCTCCCATTCGCGGATGGCGCGCTGCTTTCGGGGTCGCAGGCGATTCCTTTCCCTGCGTTGACGATGAACCCAAGGTATTTGACCTCTTGTACCGAAAACTCGCACTTCGCTGGGTCTAGGTGCAGCCCAGCGTCGGCGAGTGCTTGGAGAACTCGTCGCACCTTAGCCTCATGATCCGCCTTCGAACCGCTCGAGTAGATCAGTACATCATCCAGGTACGCTGTGACAAAGTCGTCCAGCCATTCGCGCAATACACTGTTCATGTATCGTTGGAATGATGCCGGGGCGCCGCTCAGGCCGAAAGGGCACACGAGCCACTCGTAGAGCCCAAACCTCGTGCGAAATGCAGTCTTTCCCTCATGTCCCGGAGCCATGCGGATCTTATGGAAAGCGGCCACCACGTCCAACGGTGAACCACTTAGCCTTGGCCAGATTCTGCAGGGTCTCCGCGATGAGGGCAGTGGGTATCGGTCGCGCTTGGTGATTGCATTCAGCGCTCGGTAGTCGCAACAAAATCGCAGCCCTCCATTCGGCTTCCGCACGAACAGCACCGGCGCGGCAGCCGCTGAGCTACTCGCTCGGATGAATCCTCTGTCCAGCAGGTCTTTCAGGGTCTTTCGCAAGACCAACAGCTCTTCTCGTGACATGTTGTAGAGTGGGCCCCACGGAAGGGGGCTCGTTGCCGTTCTTGTCAGGCTGCAGGTTGACTTCATGATCCACACCCGGTCGATGTGGCGGCAGCTTCATTGCCTCTCCTGGTGAGAATAGGTCGCGGAATTCTTTCAGCACTTCTGCCGGGACCTTCTCGCTCGGATCGACTGGCGGCTTCGGCTGAAGCGCCCTCTATATCCGACAAACTGATTGCATGAATCGAGATCGCGTTGCACTTCTTGCGTCTCTTTGCGCGTCGACATTCCGCCGTGAATACGGCTGCCGACACGAGTCTTGCGCTTCGAATCGCGCGTATCTTGGCGGGCTCTTCCTGCCCAATGAGGCGTATCGTCACACCTGCCCTCCCATGGTACATTCGCTGCTTGGCAGCATCGTACACGACGTGATTTCTCTCCATCCAAGGCCGGCCGAGGAACATGTCCTGGCCCAGGCTTGGGATCACGTATGCAAAGACACGTTCGTCAAATCCAGCTGTCTCGACCACAACAGCCACGACCCTGGGGATATGACACTCTTCGCTGACTCTGAGAATCCCCAATTTCTCGTGGTTTCGAGTCGACGAAGGGTATCCGCAGCTTCCGAACAAGGGCTTCGTCGATCACGGCATAGCAGTCACATCCACAGTCGACAAGGGCGCGTATTCGATAGCCTCGGTTTACCCGCGCGTTGACTAATACAGTCCGACTATTCATTCGTGGCTTGAACGCTTCCCAGTCCCGGATGTCTGCCTTTGCAGGCCCCGGCGCCCGCTTTCGCCCGGGGCTAGTCTTTTCCCGCCGACTCGTCCTCACTGGATGCTGCGGTTGATTCCGAATCATCTGCGGCATCGGGCTTCTTCATGCGCGCAGCTTTAGGTCGCTGTTGCTTCCCTTCGCCAGGAAAGACCACCTGGGCTGGGCAGTCCACGATAAGATGATCCGTCCGACCACAGCGATAGCAGCGGCGCTCATCCTTCGGCTATCTGCCCGCAATTTCCTGAACTCTCGCAAGCCATCCCTGGTAGTCGTCGGGTAGGACGGCTGTGACCAAACTCTCTTGGAGGCGTGCATTTATTGCGTTCTCTAGAAATACGATCTTTGCACTGTCCGGCCAGTCTGCTCCCCCGGCTTCAGCTAATGCCTGTTCGAATCGGGGAAGGAAGGACGCGAGAGGTTGGTCTTCGCGCTGCCGCATAGTTCTCAGCGTGGCAGCAGCGCGGGATTGGATGTTGCTGTCCTGGTAGGTTCGGTCGAGGTATCGCATGAACTCTTGGGGGTCGTAGCTACCCCCAGGGCCTCCCGCGGCGTAAAAGGTAGCGACCACTTGCTGTGGTCGCTCGTCCAAACATGAGTTGATGAGGTACCAAAGTTCGCGATTTCCACTGTAGTAGTGTGCATCAAGGTCCAGCTTGTCTCGCATCTGCCTGGCCCAGGCGGAGTAGCTCTTCCGTGAGCCGTCATGCTTGGGTGGGTTGGGCAACGGTTTCCGCATTCCAGTACCGCAGGTTTTGGGAGGGCGTGCCCAAGCCAGGCGTGCTCTCGCCCAATCCTCGTGCCACTGGCGGCGATTGCAAGTCGGCGCTCTGCGGCTGCGCTCGCCCGAGTTGCTCCATCAGCAAGGAAAGTTGGTCCTGTAGAGGGCTGAGAGTCGCATTGACCGCTTCTTGAATGCGTTGGTCAATCCATTGCTGCTGGAGACTTGGGCTCTCACTCTGCTGGTCCATCCTGACGAGCAGTCTGCAGCTTGCGGTATTTAGAAGGAGCTCTAGATATGTGAAAGGCTGGCCCGGAGTTTATTCAACAAGCAGGTGCCTAGGTGTTGTCTATCTAGAGCTAAGGAGGAAAGAAGCTGAACTCGAGGCGTAGCCTCGAGTGAGCTATATTACCCTTCTCGGAATGTTCTCGCAGCTTCTGGGTCCGCGGAGCGGGGCCGGTGTTGCCACCGGAGCACGACCCACCGGACCCGGTACAACCGGGTCCACCAGCCGGGCACAGCCCGTGACACTATCCTTAGATTATAGGCATAGCTATAATCCTTAATATTAGATCGTATAGAGCGTAGTGATCTCGTTAATCCTAGATTACTTAGATCTCTACGATCCCCTCGATCTTATATCTATTAGATAGTCGTGCCGACAATTTATCCGTTAGACCGTGTCACGTGCTTAACGCGGTCGACCGTCAGCGGCCCAGTGGCCGTGGTCGTAATAAGAACCCAGTCGGCAAGGTGTTTTTCCTGCCCTCGGCTAAGCCTCTAATATGCCTCTTTTGCCTCCTTGATAGGCAGAGCCCCTTTAAGACGTGTGTGGAGGGTCCCTCTTAGAATACCCTACTTTCGACTAGCATAAAGCTAAGGTATCCCGTTTTTAATAGCTTTAAGTGCTTCTTAGAGCTGGTTTTCGGTATACTTAGAAAGCCGAGGCATTGCTAATGTAAATAGTATTTATTTTATAATTATAGGGCAAGAGATGCACGAGAAAACGCGGTTGCAATGTAATGTATTTAACGACGCGATGGTGTTATAGAGAGTGCCGGTGTTGGGGTGTGCCGGACTTTAGGTGGGCTGACTTAGCAGAAAGGAGTCTTCGGAGGTCGCTTTCGAGAGTCCCACGTCCCGTCCTAGAAGGTACCAGGCTGGCGGCTGGGAGATTCTGCAGCGCAACCAAAAGATTGAGAGAAAGCCGCCGAAGGTCTGCAACAGTCAAAAGGGTCCGCTGACGTGGGCAGTCCGCCTTACCTGTATTGCTAAGCTGACTCAGGGTATCTAGGCTGCAGGAGATGTCTCTATCTTTGCAAACCGAATTAAACGAGGCGCGAAAGGCAGCAAGTTCAGTCCGGATAGGACTTCCCTCAACGGGCTTTGGTTCTTCTTTGTTCATCTCGTCGAGGAAGCCCGGGCCCGTGTCTCCAAATCATTTGCGGAGACGTGAAGGGAGCTGGTAGTCATTGTTTGGGGTTGGGGACCGTGTCTGGGAATAGGCGCGAAGCGCCTTGCCCGTGTTGACGCCGGTCGGCCGGAAAATCTAATACTCCGAACCGTTCGTGTGGCTGCAAGTACTCGGGGGGTTGAGTACGTACCTAGTAGGCCCCCTCTCCTGCCCTCAACCCCCCGAGTAGCTCGCAAAAATTGTCCTCAATGACGACCGTCAATGCAACAACTGAAGCTATGGCTATGGCTTCTCCAGCGCCGCCTCTAGCGCCTCCTCTAAGACTGCCTGAACCCCGCGAATCCCTACCGGTTGACTCCACTGATGAATCCAGTGATTTTGATCAAGACGATTTGCGCGATTCTGAGCACTGGAATGGGCAACCATGGGAGGTGATCTTTCCTTCTGACAGTCCGCTTTGGAACACGACCTACGAAACTGCTGAATTAGCCTTTGATGCCTTAAAGGACTTGTGCATTCGGAATCGGATGAGCCTCGTCACATTACGAAGTCAGAAGAACAAGGCAAACACAAGGTCCGATTTAGGTCATCCAGGCGTGGCTAAACCCATCAAAGCAGATGTGTCCAATGGGGTAGGCGGTGTAATACCGGTGCCTTCGTTCATGAGCTTGGATGGCAGGCATTGGGCGAACCATTTCTGCTGCTGGCCAACTCAGACATTTTGTCAATGCTTGCTGATGCAGCATCATCATCCAGCCACCGTGCAGCTACCCGGACCATGAGACCTGACCTTGGACCAACAACATAAACTCAGACCAATCAGGTCATGACACACCACCGCGCATCGTCGCGACGGGTTGCTGTGGAACCCCGGTCTGCAAGCCAAGAGGACGAGGAACTCCCGCCCGTTTGCTAATGCCTGCAGTCGCCGCCGTCGCAGCTACCTGAGTTCAACGGGCGACAACGACCCGGCATCTCGCCAGCCTCGCTAACTAGATAACCTGCCAGGACCATACCGGACATATCGTCGAGAATGCTTCTTCGCAATAACACTAAACGTGCGCAATCGTACTTGCTCCTCTTCCTCGAATTGCGTCTCTACACGCCCATGTCTTGGCCATCCGAGACTAAGCAGCCATTTGAATGTCACGAAGAAGAACATATCAGCTCTGTTGGCAAGCTTGAGCAGTTTGGGAACACCCTTTCGCAATGCATTCCTTTGAGAAAGGTGCCGGGCACGTAAATCTCGAAAGGAGCGCAAGCCCGTTTCAGCAATTGCAACATGGCACATTGTAAGAATCCTTCCCGAAGATTCAAAAGGCATGCCAGAGGCCTGGCCCCCGCGACACGGCCCCCGGCCTTGCTCGGGCTCCTGGACACAGTGGGGAGAGTACCCGTGACACCCAGGCGGCGAACGCCCTAGCGTGAGCTGGCATGTTCGCTAACGTTTTAGTGATTAACGCACGATGGTGGCGCTGCCCACGGCCCATCTTGGGGACGGTAGAATGGACGCGGCTGGTGCTGTTGCCAGCGCGCCGAAGTCTGTGACGCAGGCCATGTGTGCGACAGCTGGCCAATTATTCAGGGTTGTGCCGACACAACTCGGGAGTTGGGTCAGCACAACGTTCGCCGACGGGCGCCTATATGAAGCGCCCGTGGCCCCCTAAAATCTTTAACCCAATTGCCCTCTTTCATCATCATGTACCGTCATAACTGTAGAATGCGCTAAGAATATTGCTCCGATGTGGTAGATTCCGAGGGTCACAGCGGCCTTGTCTAGATGTTGAATCCTTCCAACTTGTCGCGCTGATATGACCATTGCACACACACAAGAGCATCTATTCATTTCGTCACTGATCAGCGCCATGCCGCGCAATGTACACCGGGCAACGCTCGCAGCATCGTCAAATTTGGGATGCGAGGCTCGACAGCAATTCTCATCACAGCTCGTGGGCATTGGATGATGAATGTACCTAGATCCGAAACAGCGCCCTCTAGCGCCCTATGCCATAACCTGCCTCGCGGTCGCTCTCATCGACGGGATAAACTTATTAGAAACAAAAGGCTGCGGACAGGGCGCCGACGAGGCTTCGGCGCGACAACGTATAGAAGCGGACAATCGTGCTGGCTGCTTTTCGTCGAATTGCGGCTCGCCCATGCAATATCTCTACGCAGCCATTCGGATGCTTCTGCTGGCAGACTTATGGGGCCGTAGGACACTTTTGTAATGCATTCAATTGAGAAGTGCTCCGGGCACGTGGATTCCAAGGGGAAAGCAGACCGTCTTGCAACAACTGCAGCGCAGTACACTGGCGGACTTCTCTTGCAGGAGCTCACTTATTATGGACCCACGAGACCAAAAGAACGAATCGCAAAGCCACGCGGTTTCGAACTGATCATCACTCTGCCAAGCCTGCCGCTCATCGCATCATCTGAAATGCCGTCTTGTCTACTGCAATATGATGCCATCTATTGTTGGCTTCATCACCACACAAGGAACTGTTCCTGCAGCAAGAGCATATACACTGCGGTTCGCCTACGTTAGCGGTGTGGACATGACAGGAAGGACGCACAACTCACTTCAGCTGGAACATTTGCCCCCAAACTGTGGGCTGCACCCCTGTCACTCAATTGGGTTTTGTCGTGGTTCTGCCACCACGCCAGCTTACTTGGAGAGATAGGCCGACTCGTCACCTGCCAGTTATACATTGATCTCCGCTGTCGATGCTCTGCAGGGCCTTGTGATACATCTTTGGTGGTCCTCTTTACCTCAGACGACGATGCTGGCTCGGGGGATGGTGCAAGAAGCGGGCGAGGAGATGGTGGCTCGTCCAAGTCGTCCCTTGAACTCAAAGATTGCTGCGGCGACCCTGGCTCTTGATATGCGCGTGTCTTGCAAGGAGCGCACTCGTGGGTAGGTACGCTCGAGATCGAGTTCAAAATTTCGGGATTTAGATGTCGATGGCTTGGGCCTTGAACTGCAAGTTCGTCGCGGAGTTCTCCAACGGCCGAAAGGGCCAGACCGCCGCGTTGAGACGAGGCAGAAATGTTTCCAGTTGATTCCTGCGTAGGTGAACTTGGCGGAGTGTTGGAAAATCCCAAGCCGGACTTAGTCTCGTTGTCCTGGCCATCATCAAAAGCTGGTCGTCTCTGGACAGACGCCATTTCGCTGTTGCACGTCGACCCCTCAAGGTGTAGTCGGGATGCTGCCTTGTTGGGTAGGCGCACCTTTTCGCGTCGCATTGTTGCAACCCATTCCTCGGCATGCTCTACGGCGGCAGTCGGCGACTTCCTATATTGTAGTAGATGCGACAAAATCTCGGCTGGACTGAACTCAAGCTCCGGCACCTTCGTGGCGAAATCTGCAGCAAGGTCGCAAGCCGCCGAATCGTTGCTACTGCCATCTTCTCCAGCGTCTTGCTGAAATATGAACCCAAAGAGCTGGGAAGTCATGGCGGCGTCAGCGTATTGGAATTCAACTTTCTTGTCCACGCGACCGGGGCGAATAAGCGCCTCGTCGAGCTTCTCAATGTGGTTCGTTGTCATGATGAGAACTCGGCCCTCTTGCGAAGCCACGCCATCAAGGGTGTTCAAGAGTCCTGACATCGTGACCCCAGTTTTTGACTTTTGAGACTCGTCAGAATCAGCAGAATCTGGTGAGCGCTCCATTCCAACAGCGTCTATGTCCTCCAGCAGAACAACGCATTTTTGTGGAAGGTCGGCGAAGAGGTCTTTCAACGTGCGGTCGTTCACACTAGGCATGCCGACAATGTATATGTCGACATCGAGCTCGCCAGCCACGGACAAACTGAAACTAGATTTTCCTGTTCCTGGGGGACCATGCAACAAATAGCCTTTTCGATAAGGAATCGTGCGCTTGGCGAACCAGTTTCGCGTTTCGGGATCCAGGAAACTCTTCACGTTAGCAACTAGCTGTTGCTTTTGCTTCTCGCTGACGATGATAGTCGACAGTGGCCTGATCTTTTTCGTCGCGATCTTTTTCCAACTATCGCCGCGGTTTTCGAATATCGTGGTCTTGTTCCTGACTTGATGCAAGTATTCGTTGCGACATTTGCCAAGGAATTCCGTTAGTATCCCGCATGATCGGCCGACGTAAGTGATGGAGATCTCCTCCTCTTTGTAAAATCCCGCGTCTTTGAGCTCGGTTTGGTAGGAGAGCAAGTGCTTTCGGAACCAGAATAGAAAACTCCCGTTCCAAGGAGAAAAGGTAAGTGGCTTTTTGACGTCGCCGTGAAGCGCGTCTGGGATGTCTCTCTTGAAGCCTGCTCGAGCGATGGTCGAGCGAGGTGCATTCTCCAGCCCATGAGTCGAAAGCTAGGTCAGAACCATGTCGTACGCCTCGTCTGACCCCTTAATATGAACTGTGGAGGCTGCAAGGGTATCAGCTGAGGACGGCCAATATCTGAGGACGTGAAAACTGACTGAAATGCTCCTCTAGCCACAATAGTAGGTAACTGACGTATGTTCTGGGAAAGGAAAACAGCTCAAAGAGGCAAACTAATGGCGTGTAGCTGTTCAAACAGAAGGCCAAGAGCTGTGCGGCCGTTACGCCTGAAATACCAGGCGAGAAATTCGGTAGAGTCAATGGACGGTATGGCGGCTGAGTATCCCAGACCCAGGGAGGGGTTGCATTGACCGTGCCGTTCATCTTGGCGATAACAAACACGGAGAGGTATCCACGAGGCGGGTCTAAATAAAAGTAGGCCTAATTATTGTTTGTTGGAAACTTGAGTTGCTAATCCGAGACAGCAAGAGTTCTGGTCGTTCCGGCAGTGCGTTTTATTTGTAGCTGGCACCTCGTCGGGCACTTGTGGAATTGCCAGTCATCTACCGGATGAGGACGGAAGGCGTCCACGGTCGAACCACGGGCCCGCATCGCATCACTGGCCGACGGCAGCGCCGATGATCGCCGAATTGGTTGACTCAGTGCTGTGTGTTGCAATCTGACTGCGCACAAAAGTGCTTTCGTACACACACGGGTACGGCCCGACCCCACATCTCAAAAATGCAAATTTGTGGTGGGCACAATCTTGCACCAGCCATGTGCCAGGCTGACTGTACGGACCCGACACAGCATCCTCAGCAAAGACAATGCAAATTTGCATTGAGGCCGCATCAAAGGATTCCGGGCTTCCACCTAGGAGCTGCCTGGCATGTATCCAAGACATTACACGATGCGTTCTCAGCTGGCAAAAGGAATACTTAAAGGTCTGGGCTCTCGTTGATTTGAATGGAAGCGCACAGAGTGTTCATAGTCCATCCATGGGACCGCGCCCTGCTCTGTTCAACCCCGCGGTCCAGCCCTGCTTCTAAATACTTTTCACCAAAACTTCACGTGACAGGGCAAGTACTGCATCCTAACTAGTCTTAGATGTCATCAGCTAACCACTTAAAAGATGTGTATCCAACTGTGGAGGGATTACCGTGGCTGTGGCCACATTATTTTTGCTGGATGGGCTGCGTGTGACGACGGTGGCCTCGATCAATGCCCCAATATAACAGCTCGTCATGTTGAGGATGCTGGAAAGTGCCAGGAATGCGCGTATATTACCCCGCCGGACTCGGATCCTTAGCTGCATGTTATCCTTTTAGAGCAGAGGTTACTTGCAAGGGCCGTATCCAATAAGAACGCCGCGCATTGAGGGCATAACAATGTCATGGCAAGGTGCGTGTGTGTGCGGTACGCGTGCGACTACGTGACGGCAACAGAGGGTGAACATGGGGCGAGTCTCACGGAGCTGGAAGCCTTTGGTGGTCAGTTGACAAGCCGGCAACTTGTTAATTCTGTTCCCTTTTGCTAGTACGTGCGACTTGCCTTTGGGGGCCAACCCATTACACTATGTAATCGTAACAATATGGTACATTTGAATAGCTACGTAGGTAACCAACTTTTTTCAGTTGCTACTCGTCAACTACTATGTATCTCTAGGCAGTAAAAACATTACAGGTTCTATTATCTTAGCCCTACTAATCTCTTTTAATAGTAGGAGTAAAAAGATAACATATAAGAATACTAAATAAACTAGTAAATACCACTACTAGGGGAGCTTTAATGTCAGCCAAATCCCCTCCCGACTCTAAGCTGAATTTAAAGCCCCCAAGTCCTAGCGATTCAGGCTTGTACAAATCGGTACAGAAGGGCTTACTAATGCCTCGCGCTGCGTAATGTGTATCTAATTAGTGGGGCCCGTCACCCCTCTGCTTCCCCTGCATTGAGGGATGTACCGAATCCCTGGGCAATCCTCGGTCTATCTCCACAGCATCATGTGACGTGATTAGTAACTTCCTTCCCTATATATATTTGTAGAAGACGTCATCCCTACAGCGTTGACATACGAGTCAACCTCAACCTCGGAATTATCATGGCTAGCCGAATAGTCGTAAAATGCTATTCACAACGGATCCCTGGCGAACCTCGATACCGCGATAAAGAAATTGCGAAGATCATTTGCAAACACGAATGGGGACGGAATCAAGATGACCGTTATGACACCTTTCATTCGTCCGGTCAATTCGCCGTTGACGGAAATCGATGTTACTTCCTTCTGGACACTGGGCCTACGCATTCTCAAGATGTGAAAGTACAAGTATATCGTTGGGATGGAAATCAGCTGTAAGACCATTGCATGACAACGTTACATGGTTGGAGACTTATTGCAACAGACAAACCAGACCTGTCTCCCCCGCCGTCCTCGCGTACCTCAGGAACATCCCTTTCAGGTCTCGACAACCGGCGGGTGTCGGGCTTTCCGACGAAGAGTATCTAGCACGTCGTGGAAAAGAAGCTTTCGACAACGTCATGCGTCAGAGGATTGAGCAAAAGAGGCGATGGGGTTGGAAGCTGCTGCCTAGCGAAACCAAGTATCTGGCGGACAACCCAGGTTTTGATTGAAGAGGGTATTTCCGCCCTATTTTAGCTAGTGAGGACAGACTTGAAAATGACCCTTACCCTTCGTTTTCAGCCCTTGCGAGACTAAGCGAGCGGTTCTGAGTGGCTGAGATCCCTAAGAGGTACCTACTTGCAGCCTTCGCACCTCTTAAAGGGATAGGTTGGATAGCTGTCTCGGGCTCTGCCAGCGAGCGTCATTGAGAAAAATCTGTGCCAGCCAGCTAGTCTCCCTGACCCCGCACAAGCGCGTCCACGCGCTGGCGGCGCGCCATCGTCGCTACAAACAGTTGCATCGCCGTTCGCGGCGACAAGTTATTCAAGCTCATGTGCTACATGTGAAACTCGAAGATGGTTAGCTGGTTCAATGACACGTCAGGTGCAACATTGGGCGGCAGCCTTGTGGCTGCAGTAGTCTAACTTTAGCTCCCCACAAAACCGGGGAGAAGGAGCTCCACTTTCTCGTGCACGCCCCTACGTTTCTAGGATTCCCTTAATTTTTTTTTTTGGAATGATTCCGGGAGTGTGCCTCGGCGGTTACCTATAGACTCCTGATGGTTGCTGCGTTGGGCGGTTTCTGGTACTCTCTGATTCGCTTCTTGGAAAATTGCTGATTTCCCAGTAACCGCTGTTGGACGTTCCAGGGTCCATGGAGAGGACTTACTATATTTTTTATGAGTACGGACGTAGTGCTAGGTGGGCTGTATAGATTCTCTGGGGCTATACTACTACCTTGCACCAGTAGCCAATCCCGTGCTGCCCATCCTAAAAAGAGGTAGAAGGCTATGGCGCATTACTGTGTGCGGCCGGCCTGGGCAGCACGGGATTGGCTACTGGTGCAAGGTAGTAGTACAGCCCCAGAGAATCTGTACAGCCCGCCTTCACTACTTCGTACTTCGTACTCATTTTAATTTCGGAGAGACGGGCTGCCTCATCGCCAGAGTCGCTCTTACCGCGTTCTCCCACGCACAAATGCGTGTCGTCCTTAGCGACTAATATAGTTCCGCTTTATTTATCCCTAGCCATGTTCCGATCAACCGGATTAATCAGGGGCAGGTCATATTTCGTAGGGGCAGTATCGATTGCGAACACGCGGTGTCCATAATGCAGACAGAAAATTATTTGCTAAGACACAGTTCCCGAAAGCACATCGTTACTCCCGCGTCACTCGTTAGGGATTACTCCTTCGCCATTGCAGCCGGGGCATTTGAATTTTCCGATCATCCCAGTGCCGTCGCAGCGAGAACATTGCGCCATTTTGCTGCTCAGTAGGAATAGAGCGCGGAATCTTTCACTTGGCTCCCAAGTTAGCACCATGATAATAATTTGTGAGCACCGTTCGGTTGATGACAAGGATTTCACGTTACAATTTTTAATGTTGAAGCCGAGCAGTCCGAAGTTGGAGAACAGGTTGAAGGTCTTCTTAGATGAAATGCGAAGATTATGTATGAGTCGGCTTTATGGAAAAGCCAACACCGATTTTCTTCCTCGGGGCTCTCAGGTGACCGAAAGCTGGGCAGGGAACTTGTGAGAGCCAATCAAGTCACGCCACGTTCTCGTCCTGGTCGGGCCGTAGGTGGGGGTCAGTAATATATCTAATCCTAATTGGGCTCGACACTTCTTGTCAGATTACCCTGAGCTCGCTGAACAGTTGAGTTTGATTCTCTCCATAAAAACAAATCAACAATGGAACCAGCAGATTGCCCCGTCTGCTTTCGCAGTTTTCATTCAACCGATAGCTTGCATTCACACACCGAACATTGGCAAGTATGTCATTCCAACTTCTCGATGTCAATTCGACTGATCACTCGCTAGCAACAAATCCAGTATCACCTTAAGTCAGCACCCCTAGCTTCCGGCACCCCCCACTTCCGGCACCCTTCGCAGCACCAAGGCAGGCACATTCCAAACGCAATTGAAGCCGCATTTTAACATCACGATAATTAAATTTGGTGTTTCTGGCTACTCTAGCTGCCAGCTATTGCAAAGAGCTTCAAATCCTGCGTTCTGATTGGCTATGGCGGCGGCAGCCGCTCAAGCGTGCGCTCGAGCTATTTCTTCGTCTTTATAACTTGTTCAATCTGTACGAACCGCCCATTAGGGTCCTGAGGACCTTTTTCTGTTTTGAGGCCGTAGACGATGTAATTGATGCTCTAGCTGCTGTATTCGAAGTTGGGAGGCTACAAGCTGCCAATTTTGCTCATCAAGGCTGCGGCCAACCTTGCCAAAGAGTAGTCGGATCGTACGGTCAACTTGACCGCGGTTTTCTAGCCCCATAATAAGGCGACGGACTTCTTGTGATCGTTTAGGCGTTTTGAGGGCATTGTAAATAGCTAGGGTACCAGAATTCTTTCTTTTTGACGGCGTTGACGGCGTTGACGGCTGCGGCAAGACGAACCGGCTTAGCAAGGGCTTTGCCATATTAACTGGCCATAGTCCTGACCCACGCCACCCGCCCTTGATATTCTTTTCGGTTAGACCGGCCTGCCGGGCCTGATAATATGCTTGGAGGAAGGTAGCCTTGCCAATTGGCGCTGTATCGTCGAAAGATACGATTTTTTCGAGTTGACGTCGGTAGGCAGCCTTGATCGGCGAGAAAACCGAGATATCAAGAGGTTGGAGGACGTGGGAGGAGTGTGCTAGTAGAAAAAGAAGATAAATGCGATTCTTAAAGCATTCATACATAAAATCGTCGGTCTAATGGCTCCCGTGGCCATCAACGATAAGGAGAACGTTCCCCTGTGGGTGGCGCCTTGTTTGGG